GGCAAATTGTCCCCATGCCCACCACCATCCCCTTGGCCACCACCACCCTACAACCAACCGTCCCCACGGCCACCATGGCGCTACCTTAGCGAGCAGCAGCAGGTCGATGAAGTCCATCCTCCTCCCCTGGTGGCTCTCCAGCCATTCCTGGTGGCCGAGGCGCTCGATGGCCCTGCGCCGGCGCCGCACCACGGTGGCGGTGAAGCCGTGCACGGTGGCGCAGGCGTGGGCGAAGCGGCCCCCGTCGGCCGTCAGGCGGTAGAGCCACGTCGGGTGGTGCAGGGGACGCTGCTGGCGCCTCACCACCAGGGTGCTCAGCTCCAAAATGGCCTTGATGTACTCGCTGGGCTCCCTATGGGGACAGGTGGGGACACCACGGTGGGCTTCATGGGGTGGCAAACGTCCCCTGCCCATGGGGACATGGAGGGGGTGGGACCAGGGGGACTTAGAGCCCTTGAGGGGGCAATGGTGGAATGTGGGGGGACAGATTTGGGGTGGGGGGCCCCAGTTGGTGACAGAGTTGGGACAAGGGGGGAGCCTGACGGGTGCAAGGACCAAGGGAACCCAAATTTGGGACCAAGCCAGGACAAGGGGGACCCAAGTTGGGGACACAGTTGGGACAAGGTGGGACCTTGATGGGTGCAAGGACCAAGGGACACAAATTGGGGACCAAACCAGGACAAGGGGGATCCAGTTTAGGACAGAGTTAGGACAAAGGGGGACATTGATGGGTGCAAGGACCAGGGGGGAGAAGGTGCAGAATTGGGGTGAGGGGACCCCAGTTGGGGAGCTGGGACAAAGGGGAACCTTGATGGGTGCAAGGACCATGGGACTCAAACTGGGGACAAAGCCAGGACAAGGGGGATCCAAAGAGGGGACAGGGTTGGGACAAGGGGGTGCCTTGATGGGTGCCCAAGGGGGATCCCAGAAGGTGCGGATTTGGGGTGGGGGGACCCTTAGGGGGACAGAGCTGGGACGTGGGTTCCTTGAGGGGTGCAAAGACCAAGGGACCCAAATGTGGAACCAAGTCAGGACAAGGGGGACCCAAGTTGGAGACAGAGGTGGGACAAGAGGGGACTTTGATGGGTGCCTAAGGGGAGACCCCAGAAGGTGCAGAATTGGGGTGAGGGGACCTGGGAAGGGTCAGAGGTGGGACAATGGGGGACCTTGATGGGTGAAAGCCCAAGGGGGACCCCAGAAGGTGCAGAATTGGGGTGGGGAACCCCAGTTGGTGACAGAGTTGGGACAAGGGTGGACCTTGATGGGTGCAAGAGCCAAGGGACCCAAATAGGGGATGAAGCCAGGACAAGGGGGGACCTTGATGGGTCCCAAGGGGGACCCCAGAAGGTGCTGAATTGGGGTGAGGGGACCCCAGTTGGGGACAGAGGTGGGACTTGGGGGGACCTTGATGGGTGAAAGCCCAAGGGGGAACTCCAGAAGGTGCAGAATTGGGGTGAGGGGACCCAAGGAGGGGACGGAGCTGTGACAAGGGGGGTCCTTGACGGGTCCCTTGTGGGGGACACCCCCAGGGGGGTTGGGGGACCCCGGGGACACACACAGAGGTGACACCGACCGCTGGCAGTGGCTGTGGTGGCTGAAGATGCATCTCTGCAGGGTGTCCAGGGTGAGGAGGCTGAGCTGCTCCAGCACCTCCAGCTCCACCGCGCCCCCCGCTGCCTGCGCCGCTGCCCCCCACTTGTCCTGCGGGGAGGGTGGGGGGAGC